ACCCCATTTGGGGTCGATCGACCATTTCACGGGGGTCGCCAAGCAAGGCTGTCCGCCATTTTTTTTGTCCGCCATTTTTTCCCCCTTTTCCGGCGGGTGCCTTACCTCCCTTGGGCTGGGCCAGCTGGTGGTCGGCCTGCTCCGTCTCTGCCGCTTGCCAGCTACGCCTCGGCCAGCGCAGGGGGCGGAACCACGCATGTGCGGCGCTCCCGGGAAGGGAAAGTCCTCGACTTACGACCGGTTGGGTAGTCCTCGACTTACGACCGGTTTAGTCCTCGACTTACGACCGGTTGGGGTCACGGCATTAAAAAGGTTGAGAACCACTGCTTTAGAACATGCTGGCTTCCTTTTTAATTTTATTGAAAATAAGCCTTTAAACAACTGAAAAGTACTGTGGAGTTTGAATGTGGAAGGTGAAAAGGCAGGTTTCCATGGCTATATGATGCTAAAAAATATAATGTTGGAGATACTGGCAGAAAATTGGTAATTATAAATCCCAAAGGTGCTTTTTTTCCAGAGGCAATTGGACTTTCTTTTTTTTCTTTGAAGACCTTTCGCTTCTCATCCAAGAAGCTTCTTCAGATCTGACTGGCAAAGTCCACATTTTGGACAGAGAGGACCGCTGGTTTGAAAGAGGGGTCAAAGAGGCCATCTATGTCAAAATTGAGCAGCCCTGTCTCAATGGGGAAGGTGGGGGAGGGATCTGACATCATCTATCTTCAGTCTACCACACAGTCCTTTCAGCAGTTCCAAGAAGACTCCACACCCATTTACATTACTTAGGTGATCCTAGAGACACAGATAAGGCTCCAGGCAGCTCTAACAACTAGCCCAGGGGTAGGCAACCTTGGCTCTTTTATGACTCGTGGACTTCAACTTCCAGAATTCCTGAGCCAGCATGGCTCAGCTTGGAAACCTCTCCCTTTCCCCTCAGCATGGCTGGCTCAGGAATTCTGGGAGTTGAAGTCCATGAGTCATAAAAGAGCCAAGGTTGCCTACCCCTGAACTAGCCAAAACAATGCAAATGAACACTTGTCTGCAGGAGTATAAATCTTTCCATTCCCCACCATCCAGTCAGAGTTGAAGAAGCTTCTTGGATGAGAAGCGAAACGTCTTCAAAGAAAAAAAAGAAAGTCCTGAGAATCATCATAGACATTTGGTGATTATAAACATTGGGATTAAAACCTGGCTTTGAAAAAGACGATGGGGTTATAGCCAATGATGGCTTTCTCCTGGCAGTATAGAATCTACTATCAAAAGAATTTTTTTCTTTGTCCCCTCAACTTACCCCAAACCTCACTAAATTTCCTCCAGAATTTTGGGAAGGCCTTTGGAGAAGATCAGAGGAATGCTAGAGGGATGGAGAGGAGAAGGAGGAGAAGCAACAGAAGTCCTGATGCTTGGGTAGATATATTTGGATTAGATAAATCCCATACATCATTTTTCTTAGGAATACTATTTATAGCATTATACTTTTAAGCTTTTCTACAATGTGAATTTGTCTTATTCAATAAAATCATTAAAAAGAAAAAAGAAAATGCATTAGTGAGTAGTGCAACAAGGGGAAAATAAAAACAGGAAAAAAAAACTGTACCATTTTTTGTGTTGTTCTTGCAAAACATATGGAATCAAGCAGCCAGTGAATTGTGTTGGTGTATTTCACATAACCAACTTAGTAGTATTTTTTTTATAAAATATCCTAGAATAAACCTACTTAATATTACAGTTTCTTAAATGTCCATTTGCTGCATAATTACTCCTAGTCTACCGACAGAACGACAATTCTAAAAGGATTTTTAGAAAATAATTTGTTTTGGTTGTGTGTGTGTGTGTTTTTTAGGAAATAAAAATATCTAGTCCCTAAAATAGCCTGCTTTCCAAATCAGCCAGATCTAGCTAGGAAGCTTAAGCAGGTAGAAATAGTCACTTATGATAACTCTGCGATAGACTGCAACCTTTATCTAGATAAAAAGCCCCGGCGTCTAATCCAGATTCAGGTACCTAGCATGCTTAATAAAACATAGTCTCAGTCTCTGTCGGTTACCAAGCAACTGCAAAACGCTCCTATCAAAGCTCTAAATCATGACTTTATTTCACGATATTGTTTACCCAATTCAAATCAGCAAAATCACCATTAGGTAAAATGGGGAGGGGGAGGGGTAATTTCTTTTTTATCCTATAAAACATGGATGATTTTCTGATAATAGCAGATGAATATATATAATTCTGAGTAAATAAAATAAGTATAAGGCACATTAGTTTGGCTTCCAGATAATTACTCTGATGCTTCTTCCTTCCCCCTCCCTTGCCCATTAAATTCTTGATCCAAACAAGCTCACTGAAAAGCTGCTTGACCAAATTATCAATTAGAAAAACCTATCTGGGGAACTGTCAAGCTATGATATCAAGGCAAATGGAAATACGTGAAGCTGGTGCTAGTGAATTTTTGCCCCAGGTAGGATTCCTGGCATTAGGAGCTACAAATGTAAATGTAAAGCTACATTACAATTCTATACAGGGATAAAATATTTTAGGTAAGAAGTATTGTCATTCTAAATTTCCTCAATAGCTGGTAGATACTAGAAGCTGAATTTCAACATAAAATGGAGCTGAAGGTAGCTTTAATTCAAGCAGATCAGCTTAAGACATCCCTATTATCTCAAAAGCCTTCTTTTATTATTTAAAATTACTTTATTTAGCACAGCAACAATATCAACCAGTAGCAAATGTGAAATATTGTGCCTGTGTATGTGTGTATAAACTTTATTAAAGGTTTTTATATGGATAAAAAAGATAGATGTAAAAATATATGAAACAGTTAGAAAAAAAGTGCAGAAATAATTAAAGAACAGAAGAAAAAGATAGTTAAAGAAGTGACTTCAGATCTTCTTTGCAATTGCAAGTGAATTTATTATCCCTTCTCCCTTTTAAAAATTACATTACAGAAATTCCTTCTATCGCATGTTCAGCCCCTTTTTTTCAATCCGCAAATCCAGAAATCACTATTTCACTTTTTTTCCATTTTCAGCAAAAAGTCCATAAAAGTTTTTCAGTCTTTTATAAAAGCAACTGTGGTTTTATCCTGAACAAGACAGGTCAGGTTTCCTCATTTCTGCTAATTCTGCCATTTTTAGAATCCATTCCTCCACTGTGGGTGTGAAATACTGGGCTTTTGTGCATTGAAATGGAAATGTATAGAAAAAAATTTAAATATCACCAGAGCTGGGAAAATGGCATTTCCTCATGGAGAGTAATTTTGTAGTGATTTTAGTTAAACTTACCAATCAGCTATACATCCTGTTATTAGGTAGCCAAAGATTAATCCTACAAGCAGAGAAAATTTCGCAATGTGAACTTTCCAGGCAGAGTCACAGACCAGATCCCACTGAAAAACAAAAAAAAGAAAGAAAAGATGATGCGTTTAAAGTGGATAGGGTTATTTTCATATACTTGAAGCAAAATCACATATAACTGTTTAGTACAGGTAATCCTCGACTTACAATCATTCATTTAATGACCGTTCAAAGTTACAATGGCACTGAAAAAAGTGACATGACCATTTTTCACACTTACGACCATTGCACCATCCCCATGGTCATGTGATCAAAATTCTCTTGGCATGTATTTATAGTGGTTGCGGTGTCCTGGGGTCATGTGATCACCTTTTACGATTTTCTGATAAGCAAAATCAATGGGGAAGCCAAATTCACTTAATAACCGTGTTACTAACTTAACAACTGCAGTTATTCACTTAACAACTGTGGCAAGAAAGGCTGTGAAATGGGGCAAAAATCATTTAACAACTGTCTTGCTTAGCAATAGGAAAAAAAGCAAAAAGCAGCTAACTAAAAACTTACAGAAGCTGATAACTGGACCATTATAAGATTTTACAATTCTGGTCATTCACTCTTCCTTCCCTCCGGCAATTCAGAGTTTTGAGATTTATTCTCTGAATATGGATACCTTCTGTGGTAAAACTATCAATAATAAATCTGTCCAATTTTAATAGGCAGATGATGTATTTACTAACATCATCTGCTTTTTTTGTGCCAAAAAAAAAAGTTATTATAAACTTCTTTTGGCACAAATTTCAAGGAGCTAGCAATGTTCAATATAAAGATCTCTTTTGTCTATTGAACTAGTTTACTGGTTGTCCACTTCCATCACTCTGTTTGCCCTTTTCTTTTCCCTTTTTCTATTTCCCATAAGAAAATATTCTAATGGCACCCAGAACTCATTTTTGTTCTTCAGTGGAGGTCGATCTCTAAGGTCATGTAAGCGAATGGTAAACAACCGTATTATTTTTCTGTATTCAGAGCAAGTATTAGCAGCCATTTGGCCAGATCATCTGTAATCAGAGAAGGAAGAGTTATTGTTAAGCTGTTAAGAGTTCTGGGAAGCTTGTATATATCCAATAACATGAAATGACTCAGTAAAATGTCCTTTATGGTATCTTCTAAACCTGATGTTCATCTTGAAGAAAATGGGAAGAATTTCAGTTTGTACTGTTGACTACTTAAGGATTTTTAAAGATTACAGTATCTAAAAGGAAGCAATCTAAAGGCATTTTTTTGACTAAACATTTAACTCAAACAAATCTTGAATTTAATCACAATGCATTCAAACAAGGTTTATATCAATATTTTTTTAATGCTGGAAGCTCTTTCGGAACAGTCAGTTCAGACTGAAAAAACATATTTAAGTGAAGTTGTTTAATTATACTTCCTTTAGGGCTTCCCTCAAATCCTAGTTGTTCAGACTATGAAAGTGATGTTTTTAGGTTAAGCAACAAGATATAGAGCTTCAGACAACCAATGCTCAATTCAATAGGAACTATTTTCAGTGTTCCCACATCACAAGAGGACGGGGGCAAAAAGGATAACTAACACAAGCAGAAACCTCAGGCAAAATTCACTACAATTAATGAATTTTATGTAGCATCAATGACACCTAAACTAGATACCAACCCTGCCCTATCTTTTATTAAATGTCAATAAAAACACTGCTCATTTAGAAATCCATTAATATTTTTTTGAGGATAAGGTGCTTGACATCCTGCTATGAAGAATCTTTATTGCACGACTCAAGAAAGCTGTTCAACCAAATCAGCACAATAAACAAATACAACAAACTGCTCCATTATCCAGATCTCTTCAATGAACTGTTCAGAGAAGGTCTGTTAGACAAAATGGGCAGACAGGAACATAAATAATAGAACCATCATCTGTTTCTCTGACCCCTTTGTTGAGATAATATTTCTGTGGCATATCTGCTAGCTAGCGGGCATGCTCACTGCTGCATCATGAGACAAAGTGGCTAAACCACAACAAACTGGGTTTCCTATTTCTCCACAAAAGCTTCTTTCATGGCAAGAACAATCTAACCACAGTTTTCTTTATTAAGGAAGTTCATCACAGATAGGAGATTCTGCAGAGAGGATTCAAGCCATATGCCAAAGACGAACAGTTTGGCTCTGATCCTCTAGACAGATCAAGACATTGTTGTAACTACTGCACATGCACTGCTCCAACCGCATTGCTTAGTGATGGCATTCCCTGAACTTCCAGTTGCTGTTGTTAACCAAATCCCACAGTTGTTAGGCAAGGCAACTGCTGACTTCCCACAGCTAAGTCAGTGGGGAAGGTAGTAGGAAATTGAAAATCCCAGGCAACTCACAAGCAAGTAGAGGCAGATAAGTGGCTGCTGTCAGGTGGGGAAGGAGCAAGGCAAGGTGAGGAAGGGTACACATATGGCCAGTGTGGTACAAGCACAAAGAGGCTTTGAGAGGGTGCACAACTGAGAAAGACTTATCCCAGCAATTTGTGACCTTCTCTGATGGCTTTCCTATTGACTTTCTGGGGAAGCTGGTAGGGAAGGCCGCAAATGGTGATCATGTGATCACAGGGCACTGCAACCTCTCATATGTGTGAGCTGGTTGCCAAGGACCCAGATTGCAATTAAGTGACCGCAGGGGTACTGGGATGGCCAGACTGTCCGGTCCGTAATCATAATTGATTTAGCCACTGTTGTAACTTCAAACAGTTGCTGAATGAATGATGATAAGTGAAGGACTATCTCTAATAGAAACCAAAGCAATGTATCTGCAACTCATTCTGCCAATACCATGAAATGAAACTTGGAAAGGAGCAGATAGAAGAGGTAAATTTTTACATCTATCTTTTTTACATCATAAAATTGATAGCATGCACAAAATTGTCAAAGAAATGTAGACTAGCAGCATGGATCAGTTTGAACTGTGTAAGATCAACACTCCAACAAATGGGCAATGCCAAGGCAAGAGCAAGCACCTTCAACCCCCAAGGCAAGAGCAAGCACCTTCAACCCCCACCGTCATAATGTGAAGGATGTGAAGCAGAAAAGCTTGGAGTCATACAGTGTGCAATGGAAAGATGAATGCTAAAGATCTCAGTCAGAGATGAGTTCAGAAATAAGGAAATTCAGCTCAGCAATGGATTAACTTCAAAGATGTCTCAGAAACGGGCTAACTTCAAAGATGTCATAAAACAGCACTGAAATCTAATCTAAGTAGGCAGGACACATTGTACATTTATCTGACATTAGGTAGACACAAAAAGTGACCCGGTGGTGGCCCTAAAATTACATGCATCTACTTTGATGATCTCCTTCAAGAGGATATAGAGATGTTCTTGATCAGGGGTAGGCAACCTTGGCTCTTTTATGACTCGTGGACTTCAACTCAGGAATTCTGGGAGTTGAAGTCCATGAGTCATAAAAGAGCCAAGGTTGCCTACTCCTGTCTTGATGAAGAGGGAAGAGATTTGTCATCAAAGCAATGGGGAGGGAAACCTGGCTTATGCCCAAACAATGAAGAAAGTATGAATAAATATCACAGACACTACCCTAATTCACATGAGTATAACAAAGGGAGGAGGTAAAACATAATCATATTTGCAAGATTCTATTACCATGGCCAATCATAGTAAAAAATAATTTTAGCTTTAATGTGGACTTGATTTCTGATCTACATCTTGGGGTTGTAAAAAGATCTTAGTCCCAACCGAAACAGTACCGTGAAAGACCAAATAAAATATAAGTATTGGCCGAAGTCATAACTGGACATCAATGCCATCCAGGTGAAAAAGTGATAAAGTGAAAACAACAGGGAAGGGTCGGGCAGAAGGGCAAAGAATGTATGTGCAGTTTTAAAAGAACGGATTCTAATGCCAAGAAAGAATTCTTGTTCTCTTTCCATCAGGTACAAATAGATCATCTGCTCAATACAGTACCAGATTATTAATATCAAATTGTTCTAGAACATTTTAAGTGTATTTCTTTCCCTGCTCCCAAGCAATCTTGATAGGATACATGCAAACCAAGATCAAATTTCTTGTCCCTCCACGGCAACTGTCCTACCTACTTTTGAAAAGCTTGATCTGTTTTCATTATTTAGAAATATTATTTGGAACATTCTTTTATCAATTATCACAAAGTAACAGACTCCATTCCAGTTATTTGGGCAGAGTGAAAAGCCAGAGTTAATTTCCAATCGTTCACTTGGAAATTCTTCTATCCAGTGTCTCTCTACTTTATCTTACTAAATAGGCATCATTTTAATCTCCTAATTTCCTATTTCCTAACCTGCTGCTTTCTGATATGTGTGGCACTGCAACAACCAGAGTCTGCAGGAAGAATGGCCTTCAATCTGGAAATCTGCTGAATTGAAGTTACATCCTACTTAGAGAAGTTGGAAAAGGCTGGTCTTAATTTTAAAATATTTGAAGATAGACAGTGATTAATCTTACTAATTAATAGCTCCTTTTGCAAGCAATGCTTATCTACCACTTTTTGAAAGCACCACAGCTACGATATCCAAATCTATCAGCACGCTCAAAACTTATCCATAAGCCAATCTCAATAATTCTGAGGTGAGACCTTGAGTGTGACAGTGTACTAGAAGGCAATAATTTGCAATGTTTGCAACAGTGTAGGATGAGGGTGAAGGTTCATTCTCTGAGCTTCTGGGTTGGTTTCTGAACATTTCATTATCAGGCTAGGCAACAATGCTGCTGAAGATTTACCTAGCCTGGTAACGAAAGGTTCAGAAACCAACCCACAAGCTTGGAGAACAAACTTTCACACTCAGTTTGCAATGTCTCCCTTTTTCTAGGCTGCTCCCAGCGCCCTCACCAATCCTCTTGTTTACCCAGGAAGATTACCCCTAGTGGACAATCACTTAGATATGAGCCAGCAGTGTGCTGCAGCTGCCAAAAAAGCCAACACAGTGCTAGGCTGCATTAACAGAGGGATAGAATCAAGATCACACGAAGTGTTAATACCACTTTACAATGCCTTGGTAAGGCCACACTTGGAATACTGCATCCAGTTTTGGTCACCACGATGTAA